CCAGGCCGAGCTGCGCTTTTTCCCTCGGTGGTGCGCGTCCTAAGTGGGTGGGGTGGGGGGCGCAGGGAGGGGCGGCCACGCTACTCTAAGACCCTTTCACATGGTGGGAAGGCCCGGAGAAAGAGACAGCGTGTGCGGAGGGGGTGCCCCCTCAGATGGGGGGTCGGGAAGTCTCCCTCAAGTGTCCAGGACAGAGGGACAGCAGGGGCCAAGGCGGAGATGAGATCAGTGAGTGAGGGGAGCCCGGAAGAAGTGAGGCTGCAGCGGCCCCGCAAGGGTTCGGACTTTCCTCTAAACGGGGCGGAAGCCCATGGAAGGAAGCGGTTAGCAGCAAGGCAGAGTCCTACCCCCTCTGCAGCCCCAGCTCCCAGTGCCCTGGGCTTTCCAGGCACTTGTCCGGGTAGGGGATTCAGGGCAGTGGCCAGGCCCGCACTTTCCTGCCAGCCTCAGCTGGCCACATGCCCCTCTGACCCTCCGAGTTCTCCTCTAAAAATGGGGCTGACAGCCCCTACCTCACAAAGTCCACACCGGGCTCCACCTGCTACCTTCCTCCCCAACAGGACTCCGCCGCCCGCCTCAGGATGCCTGAGGGCCCTGAGCTGCACTTGGCCAGCCAGTTTGTGAACGAGGCCTGCGGGGCGCTGGTGTTCGGCGGCTGCGTGGAGAAGTCCTCTGTCAGCCGCAACCCCGAGGTGCCCTTTGAGAGCAGTGCTTACCGCATCTCAGCTTCAGCCCGCGGCAAGGAGCTGCGCCTGATACTGAGCCCTCTGCCTGGGGCCCAGCCCCCACAGGAGCCCCTGGCCCTGGTCTTTCGCTTTGGCATGTCTGGCTCTTTTCAGCTGGTGCCCCGCGAGGAGCTGCCACGCCATGCCCACCTGCGCTTTTATACGGCCCCGCCTGGCCCCCAGCTCGCCCTGTGTTTCGTGGACGTCCGCCGGTTTGGCCACTGGGACCTTGGGGGCAAGTGGCAGCCAGGCCGCGGGCCCTGTGTCTTGCAGGAGTACGAGCAGTTCAGGTAGGGCCAGCACCAGGTGTGATGAACATAGTCACACTCTGTTAGTGCCTTCTTGGTCAACAAAGGGCAAGTCCCTGCCCCTTCTGGGCCTCAGTCCCCTCATCTGCAGATCAAGACAGTGTCCCTGTCCTGGGTCAGCTCCCTGAGCCAATGGACATGGAAACTCAAAACTAATTGGAGGCCGGGTGTTGTAGCTCACGTCTGTAATCCCAGCATTTTGGGAGGCCGAGGCAGGTAGATCACTTAAGGTCAGGTCGAGACCAGCCTGGCCAACATGGTGAAACCCTGTCTCTACTGAAAATACAAAAATTAGCCGGGCATGGTGGCACATGCCTGTAACCCCAGCTACAGGCTGAGGCAATAAAATCGCTTGAGCCGGGGAGGCAGGGTTGCAGTGAGCCGAGATAGCACCACTCCACTGCAACCTGGGCAACAGAGCATGACTGTGTCTCAAAAAATAATGATAATAATAACTGATGGGGGAGGAGAGAGGAGAGTCAAGAGGAGGATGGGTAGGCACTGCCCTGAGGACATGTGGCCAGTTAGTGTCAGAGAAGCTGGGGCTCCCACTCACAATCCCACACCACCTCTCAGGGCTCCCAGGAGGCTGAGAAAGTAGAGGGGCTTTAACATGGTAAGTGAGGCTGAGCGGAATTGTTTCAAGGGGATGGGGAGGGGACTACCTCATGACATGGCTTCCGTCTTGGGCTTTGTGGTCTCCCACATCTGGCCTGCCCACTACTCTGTGTCCTGTGGTCTCCTCTGTGCCGCTTCCCTGCCTGCAGGAGGGTATAACAGCCCCACCTGGGATGTGATGCAGGTCACCTCAGATGGTACAGTGTTGGCCACTTCCTTTCCTCTGAAGAAGAAACGTGTATGAGTCTGCTTCGTGCCAGGCCTTGTTCTAGGGGCTCGGGGTACAGCAGTGAACAAGATGAATGTGGCCCCTGCTCCCACAGAACTGATGTTCACATAGGGTAGGGGAATGAGAAATGGACCCATGCCTGAGGAAAACCCAACAGGTGAAGGAGGTAGAGGATGACTTGGCCGAGAGTAGGGGTGCATTAGCAATGGCCACTCTAGGGAGGTTTGAGCTGAGGCCTGACTGATGAGAAGGAGCCAGCCAGAGGAAGGCATTGGAACTGACAAGAGTCACAAATGCAGAGGCCTGGAGTGGGCTTGGCAAGTTCTCCCCTTCTGGGGGACCCTGGGTGTCCGTTGGCCCTTAGGGGACTTGGATGCCTGTGGGATGGGTCGGGGATGTCTCTGGTGCCTTAGAAGGCCATTGACTCCTGGCCTTGCCATGTGTGAACCCCAAGCACATCCCCAGGGAGACATCTGTCTTTGGTTCTGGATTCCTCCAACCTCAGCCTTCCTGGGGAGTCACGCCACAAGTTAACTCTGCCAGCTGGCTCTGAAGTTTCTCTCAAACCGCGAGCATTTGGGCTGTTTTCTTAGTCCTCCAGCTGGGGCGTGTGGCGATTGGATTCCCACAGGGATCAGGGCACCTCCCAGGCTACCCTTGTACCTTCACCCCAGAACTCTGTCTTCTGGTCCACTCATCACACCCACTAGTCAGTCTTGCCACGACCCTTTTCCGCAAAGAAACAAGATGCGCATCCTCTTTACTGTGGGGAGGAGACACCCATGACCCTTGGAGGTGGGGTGGGGGCTGCTAGGGCCCTTACTGGTACCCCACATATCTGCTGCACAGAACCAGACAATATCCAGGATCTTGAGAAGAATGGACCCTAACAATGGCAAACCCACATATAGTCTCTAACCCACCACAAATGCTATACAGGGAGCTCCAGACTGCAAACGCACTTGAGGTCCTGTGGCCACACTGTTCTCATGTCCTGAGAAGTCTGAGGTGATAAACTCACAACCTCATATACAACCTCATGTTGCTTTTTTTTTGAGACAAGGGTCTCACTTTGTTGCCCAGGCTGGAGTGCAGTGGTGCCATCACAGCTCATTGCAGCCTCAACCTCCAGGGCTGAGGTGATTCTCCTACCTCAACTGCCTGAGTAGCTGGAACCACACGAGCACACCACTAAGTCCCTGGCTACTTTTAAAATTTTTGGTAGAGACGGAGTCTTCCTTGTTGCCCGGGCTGGTCTCCTGGGCTGAAGCAATCCTCCTGCTTCAGCTTCCCAGACTGCTGGGATTATAGGTGTGAGCCACCACACCAGCCTCACGTTACTTTAGATCAGTATTTTTCACCTTTCACAATGAATTTATTTTTAATTTTGTTTTTATTTTTTGAGATGGAGTCTCGCTCTGTGGCCCAGGCTGGAGTGCAGTGGCATGATCTCAGCTCACTGCAACCTCCGCCTCCCTGGTTCCAGAGATTCTCCTGCTTCAGCCTCCCAAGTAACTGGGATTACAGGCACCCACCATCATGCCTAGCTAACTTTGTATTTTTAGTAGAGACAGGGTTTCACTATGTTGGCCAGGCTGGTCTCGACCTCCTGACCTCAAGTGATCTGCCTGCCATGGCCTCCCAAAGTGCTGAGATTACAGGCATGATCCACCGTGCCCGGCCGTCCTATCACAATGAATTTAAATCCCATGATGTTCCCATTTAACAGACAGGAAAACTGGGGCAGGGAGAAGAGAAACTGGAACTCCCAGTTTCCTTCCCCTTGCACCCAGAAACAGGTTCTCTGAGCCCCTCTCCCCATCCCATGGAGAGTGGGGATGGGTCTTATGCACCCAGACTGTGTCCCTCCAGGGAGAATGTGCTACGAAACCTAGCGGACAAGGCCTTTGACCGGCCCATCTGCGAGGCCCTCCTGGACCAGAGGTTCTTCAATGGCATTGGCAACTATCTGCGGGCAGAGATCCTGTACCGGTCAGCAAGCAGCATGGGCATGGGGACTGGGGTGGGCCAGGTGTGCCCACATTCCCCACTGCCTAGCATGGCTTCCCCTCCCCCCACTACAGGCTGAAGATCCCTCCCTTTGAGAAGGCCCGCTCGGTCCTGGAGACCCTGCAGCAGCGCAGGCCGGTGAGCCCAGAGAGGGATGGAGCACATGTGCTGGCACACTGGTGTCCATGTGGGCTGGCAAGGAGATGGGTGGGGTCAGGTGTCCCCAGCTTAGCTCAACAACGGGGGTGGGAAGGGGATGAACCACCCAAGGTCTGGCCAAGCTCACAGGGAAGGTCAGCTGCCTTTACATTGCCCCACTGACAGACAGGTCCTGCCCCTGCCCCTGCCCCTGCCCCTTCCTCAGAGCCTGAAGCTGACCCTCAGCCAGAAGATCAAGGCCAAGCTGCAGAATCCAGACCTCCTGGAGCTATGCCACTTAGTGCCCAAGGAAGTGGTCCAGTTGGGTGAGGCCAAAGATGGCGGTGACCTCTGCTTCAGCAAATGATTGTGTAACCCTGGGGCACTTGTCCCTCTATTCATTCATTTGGAAGTTTGTAGCCCTAGTTATTCAATGGACTAGGCCTCCTGACTTGTCAATAGTGTTTCCAGGCCGGACGCAGTGGCTGCCTGTAATCCCAGCACTTTGGGAGGCCGAGTGGGGTGGGTCACCTGAGGTCAGGAGTTCGAGACTATCCTGGCCAACATGGTGAAATCCCATCTCTACTAAAAATGCAAATGATTAGCCAGGTATGGTGGTGGGCACCTGTAATCTCAGTTACTTGGGAGGATGAGGCAGGAAAATCGCTTAAACCTAGGAGATGGCGGTTGCAGTGAGCCAAGATCACGCCATTGCACTCTAGCCTGGGCAACAAGAGCAAAACTCCATCTCAAACAAAAAACAAAACAAAACATAGTGTTTCCTCCAAGCTGCCCATGAGACAGGCAGGACAGGGATTCTTTCATATATTCACACACACACACACACACACACACGTGTATATGTATTACTTTTGGTAGAGATGGGATCTTGCCGTGTTGCCTGGACTAGCCTCAAACTGGGCTCAAGTGATCCTCCCACCTCTGCCTCTAAGTAGCTAGGACTACAGGCTCACACCACGACACCAGGCTAATTGTTAAAATTTTTTTTTGTAGAGACAGGATCTCCCTATGTTGCCCAGGCTGGTATTGAACTCCTGGCCCCTAGGGCTCCTCCCACCTAAGCTTCCCAAAGTGTTGGGATTACAGGTGTGGGCCACTGCACAGGGCCAGGACAAGGATTCTTAATCCCACTCCAGGATGGGAAACCCATGGCCGAGTGGGAAGAAACCAGCTGAGGTCACATCACCAGAGGAGGGAGAGTGTGGCCCCTGACTCAGTCCATCAGCTTGTGTAGCTGAGGTCTGGGCCAGGTCTAACCAGGCTCTCCACTCCTCCCAACCTGAGCCTGCCCTCTGATCTCTGCCTGTTCCTCTGTCCCACAGGGGGCAAAGGCTACGGGTCAGAGAGCGGGGAGGAGGACTTTGCCGCCTTTCGAGCCTGGCTGCGCTGCTATGGCATGCCAGGCATGAGCTCCCTGCAGGACCGGCATGGCCGTACCATCTGGTTCCAGGTTGGGCCCTACTGTTCACACAGGCAAACAGAGACCCCAGGAAGCTGATGCGTGGAAACATGGGCTCACAAGAATTGGGGTGGAGATACTCAGGGCCTGTCTAGACCCTCCAAGGATCACACTGTTCCTGAGGGTCACATCCCTCCCCTCCCTTGCGTCCCAGGGTCGCAGCTAGTGGAAGTAGCCCAAGGGCAGGGCAGCTTTGCTGATGTGGACTCTGACATGGGGGAGGTCTTAGAGGCTTCCTGGGGGAGAAGCTACATTGATCTGGGTGGGTGTGTGTGAGTCCCACCTCTCCAAGGAATACTGCCCCTGTGCCAACCCAGGCTGATTCCTGAATTATCCCCATCCCATTTTAGGGGGATCCTGGACCCTTGGCACCCAAAGGTAAGCTACTCCTAATGTAATAGGCTAAGAGAGCAGAAAGGACTTCACACCTGCAAGGGCTACAGCACCCTTCTCCACTCTATCCCCCTGCAACCCTGGGAGTCACCCCTGGGCAGGATAGGACCCTCCAACTCCAACAGCAGTGTCCTGCAGGGCGCAAATCCCGCAAAAAGAAATCCAAGGCCACACAGCCGAGTCCTGAGGACAGAGTGGAGGTATCGCTGCCTGCTCCCGCCTCCTCTTCCCCTGCACTCTCCAGCCCTGGCTGCCCCTCCTAGGCAGCTGCCTTACCCTAAGAGGGCGGAGGGAATAGTGGGCCCTAACCAACCTCTAAACTGCTCTCTGAGCCCCTCAGGGACCCGTGTCTCCTCCATCCAGGACCCTTTGCCTCCAAGCAAGGCCCTTTCCAGGACACGAAGGGCAAAGAGAGACCTTCCTGAGAGGACTGCAACTCAGCGGCCTGAGGGGACCAGCCTCCAGCAGGACCCAGAAGTTCCCACAGTGCCCAAGAAGGGGAGGAGAAAGGGGCGACAGGCGGCTTCTGGTGGGCTTTCCTCATCACTCCCAGCAGCTGGCTCTACAGGAGAGGATGGGATGGTGGCCTAGGAGCGCGTGAACAAAGGTGGGGGAGAGGCTGCCACGGCAGCCCCTGGGAGTCTGAGCTCACCATCTTGCCTGTTCTTCCCCCAGGCCACCGCAGACCCCGGAAGGTCAAGGCTGACACCCCATCCTTGGACCCGGAGGGGACCTCAGCCTCTTAGCAGGAGGGTCTCCTTGCTGCACCCACCCTTTCTTGTCTTGCCCTGAATCTTGGGGTCTGAATTCTTGGGAGCAGGCAATATCTGAAGGTGCAAACAGGCCCTATGGCTGTTCCCTGCACAACTCTCATGTTTTTAATTGTACCCCACCTTCCACATCTTTAAAGCTCATGTGAAAAATGCTGCATTTTTAATAAACTGATAAATTTGAACTTCTTGGCACCTCTTGGTCTGAGATGGCCAGGTAGGAAGGGCCTGCTGCCCAGTCCTGGGGACAGGAGGCCCAGCTCCTCACAAGGCAAAACTGAGCCCCCATACCAGTCCTCAAGTCTCTGGCTCTATCAGAGGACAGTTTGCCTCTGCAGGGACAGCCCCTCAGAGGTGGTACAAAGACCCTGGCCCCAGGCCGCCCAGGAGCCATAGCTCCTCCAGTTCAGATTCTCCAGGGTCCAGGGCTGTTCTCCCATCCTGGCAGGAGCCAGGCAAAACCCACCCTTCGGCCCCTCCCCAGCCCCAGGCCCAGGCCCTTTGCCTGCTGGCACAGAGGGGAGCTTCTCAACTCATGGTATCTTCATTGGCTTTTGGTCACTCGAGGTCACCAATCTCTTGTGGGGGCTGCAACCCAGACCCTGCACACACAGGTACTTTAGGATCTTGCCCCTACCCACCAAATACCTGGGAAACCATCCCACCCCAGACCTCCCACCCCGACCCCAAGCCTGAGGATGGGCCCTAAGGGGAGTGAGCAGTGGCTACCAGCAGGGTTCCTGATCCAAGGATTTATTCCACAAGAAGAGACTGATCCCTGCTTTAGGCTGGGGAAACAGAAATTAGGAGTCCCCAGAACCTTCCACAAACAAAACCCCAGCCCCAGGGACTCAGTGTGGTGGAGGCTGAAGCACGAGCAACAGGGACAGCACTTGGAAGGGAGAAAAGGTGAGCTTCAGGCGGCTGTCCCGAAGGGGCAAGTGGCCAGCAGGGTCCGGTCGCTCCAAGAGGTCGCAGCTGGAGAACAGGAGAGGCCATGAGGGCTCTGCGAGGGCGAGACTCTACCCCCACTCCCATCCTGCACCGCCACTCACAGGATGGCCTCCTGAACCGGCAGCGACAAGTGCAGCCAGCAGTCCACGTGGCTGCCGTGGGCTTCATACAGCCTCAGGACCAGCGAGCGGCGCTGGGGGCTGCTCTCCGCCTGCAGAGGGACAGGGCTGGTGGGCGGGGCTGAGGGCGGGCCCAGTCCAGGACCCCGCCCCCAGCACATCCCACCCCTTGCCTGCTTGACAGTCTCCAATACGACCGCGGGTGAAGACAGGGAAAAGGCACTCCAGGAGGTGGCGGGCGCTGGGCTGGGGGCTGGCAGAGCCAATAGGGGGAAGTTTAGGCTGTAGGCAGCTTGGATAACGCCAGCATCCTGGAAAGAGCCTGGGGAATGACCAGGAAACAATGCTGGTGGAGAGTGGGGGCTACCCTCCCATGTCCCTAGAAGGAACAGGGAGCCAGGCTGCTGGGGTTTGGGCTCACAGAAGGGCAGAGAGGTGTCTAGGGATGCAGGAAGGCCCCACCGTCCCCAGCACTCACCCTTGTGGGGCATCAGCGCGTAGGTGAACTCGTGGCGCCCCATGTCAGCAGTAGCGTCCGGGGTTTTAGGCGCCCGCAAGCTGGGGTAAGGAGAGCGAGTAGGGGCCAGGCTGAAGCTGATGAAGTTGTGGCCAGGAAGACCCATGTCCCCATGCCAGCTCCCAGGCCTGGTGGGTACCCCACTTACAGCGAGAGGCTGAGGATGCTGCCTTGCACTGATGCGCCATACTTGCAGTCGTTGAGCAGGGCCAGTCCAAAGCCGTGTTCTGACAGATCCATCCAGCGGTGGGCCCACACCTGGAGAGCAGATCCAAGACCCACTTGGTGGCCCTGTGCCCCTCTCTGTGCTTGTAGACTCCAGAGCTCCTGTCACTAGGCTGAGCACAAGCTCTAGAACCACACAACTGAACTCCAGCTCCCACTGCACGGGGCTCTGGGCATGCCACCCAACCTGCCTAAGCCTCAGTTTCCTATCTGTGAAATGGGAATAAATAATAGTACTTACCCCACCGAATGATCATGAGTATCAAATTAAATGCAAAACTTTGTTTTTTTCACACAGGATCTCAGTCTGTCACCCAGGCTGGAGTGCAGTGGCATGATCTGGGCTCACTGCAACCTCCGCCTCCCGGGTTCAAGTGATTCTCCTGCCTCAGCCTCCCAAGTAGCTGGGATAACAGGGCATGTACCACCACACCCGGTTAATTTTTTTTTTTTGAGATGGAGTCTCACTCTGTCGCCAGGCTGCAGTGCAGTGGCATAATCTCAGCTCACTGCAACCTCCACCTAAAGGGTTCAAGCGATTCTCCTGCCTCAGCCTCCCAAGTAGCTGGGACTACAGGCGTGCGCCACCACACCCAGCTAATTTTTTTTTATTTTTAGTAGAGACAGGCCTTCACTATGTTGTCCAGGATGGTCTCGATCTCTTGACCTCGTGATCCGCCCGCCTCGGCCTTCCAAAGTGCTGAGATTACAGGCCTGAGCCACTGCGCCCAGCCAATTTTTGTATTTTTAGTAGAGACGGGGTTTCACCATGTTGGCCAGGCTGGTCTTGAACTCCTGAACTCAGGCAATCCACCTGCCTCGGCCTCCCAAAGTGCTGGGATTACAGGCATGAGCCACCGTGCCCAGCCAATGTAAAGCATTTAGTGCAATGCCTGGCACGCACCTTAGGAAGCAGCAAATGTTGATTATCCTCTTCCTCCCCAGCCCGTACCACACAAGCAGTCTCCCCAGCCTGGGAGGAATCCAAGGCCACTCGAACCCTGCCATGTCAGACCTCAAATCGAGCCCAGTCCCAAGAAGTATTGTAGTGGGTAGGTCGCTGCAGGTGCCCAAACTGGATCTCATAGGTAGCCTGGGAACTCCGCACGCGAGCAGGGAACTCCACCTTCAGGAACTTGTGGGCCTCATGCCAGTGTACCTGGGAGCAGGATGGAGGGTGGAAGTCAGGGAAGGAAGAGACACACCCAGGCCTGGGGCTGGCCCCTCCTTACCAAGCACACTTGGGGAAAACAGCCACCCCGTCCCCCACCCACCACTACCTCGGTGTGGAAGCGGACATAGGGGCAGCCAACATCCAGCACGACCTCCTGGCTAAGTCGACTGTTGGGGCTAATCTGCAGCAAGAACCAGGCGCTGCCCCGCAGGCCACCCTCGGTGCCCACTGCCAGGGTCCCTGCCTGGCCCAGCACAGGCTTCCTATGGGACAGGGGTGGACATACTGAGCCAGAGCAGCCTGTGTTCCTGCCACCTCCACCATCCCCACATGCTGCCCAGCCCATACCGTGTCTCCAGGTGGTAGTCCATGACGTCCCATGCATCCCAGTACAAGGGGACATCATCAAACAGCACAAACTGGTTCCCCACGGCACCCTCAGCAATGGCCTCCCTGGAAGGACATGGGATTGATGCTGTACAACCATCTGACCTTGCTCCCTCCAGCTGCTCTTGGTGGGGTAGGGTGGAGTGAGTAGACCCAGGGGACAGGCGACTACTGCCCAGCCTGCCCTGCTCCATGTGTGGGTTCCAGCCCACAGCCACTGGTGGGCTGCTGTGGGCAGTGTTGCAGCCAGGGGACAGAGGAAACGGGCTGGGGTCTCCTTGCCAGGCACTGGGAAAGGGCAGTAAGGAATTGGCACCTGCCAGAGGCCACCAGGACCAAGGATGTCAGGCGGCCAGTTGGGTCCAGCTTCACTCGGATGATGCCATTATCCAGAGTCACGGAGCCGTCAGTCTTTGTGGGAGGAGGCCTTGAGGCTGAGTCTGTAGGGGCTTCCCACACCAAAAGTCCTCCCACCCCAACCCCAGCCCCGCCTCACTACTTGCTCCAGGCAGGGGAGCTCAATTGTCAGAAAGCATCCCAGCACAGCTCCTGCCCCCTAGGACATGCAGGACTCACCTCTTGCAGTACGAACACAGGCTGCTGGGGCAGCAGGGGCTGCAGTGAGGTGGGGGGAGGAACAGGAGCATAGCCCATGCTGGGCACCGTCACCAGGGCTGGGGGTGAGGCCTGGGCATCAGTGCAGCCTTCCTGACCTTTCAGGAAGCTTGCGTAGGTGGGGGTGGGGTGGTGGAAGATGAGCTACTACTCTCCAGTCAGGGGCACCCAGATCCCTAGGGGTATCCCAGGCCTGATCTGTCTGGCCTCCATCCTTCCTGCTGCAATAGCAACCCTTCCCCTCAGCTTGTACCTAGGCTGTGGGCCCCACCCGGCTTGGGCAGGGCCATCACTTCGGTCCGCTTCCAGGGCAGCGTGTTGACGATGAGGAGGCCCTCGGGACCTGGCTCCCCAGCACACAGGGCTGCGGCTGCGGTGCTGAGCAGTGTATTGCCATGGGAACGGATGTCTGAGGAGAGACTGGCTGGTCATAGGTGGGCAACAGGTCTGGAATGAGCCCATGGGTATCCCACAGGAGACACTCTGGGCTCAGCCCTGGCACTGGAGAGAGCGGGAAGGACTATTGTGAGCCTAACCTTCGTAGTGGCACATGGCTTCCTCTGCAACTATCTGGATGCAGCTTCCAGTCACCACATCATGGAACTGGTTCAGAAGCAGGAGCCTGCAGGGGCCAAGGGCAGGGATGGGAAGACTGGGAGGGGCAGCCACAGAGGTATCTGCAGTGAGCAGTCAGGTGGGTGGCAGGGACAGAACCAGGCTGACCTCCAGAGGTGCTGCAGCTGGGCTGCTGGGTATAGGAACTGGGCACTGCGGGCCAGGGCCAGGCTACTGAGCAGCTCCACATCGTGCAGGATTCGCTCACATTCCCGGTTCCCCTTCTTGATCTGAGCCCGGGATGGGAAGATTAGTCTGGAGCCTGCTTAGGTGTCCCAGGACACCTTCCAAAGCCCTCCCTTGCTCAGAATCCCTGAGGACCCCCCAAGGGCCTCGTGGAGAAGGCCTCTGGAAGTGACCTGCCTTAAATGCCTTCCCTCTTCTCCCCACAGCCCAAACCCCTTTCTTCAGGGACACTGCCTCCTTCAAGCTTTCTTGACCAACCCAGGTCTTGAACTTCTCTCCTCCAAACTTCTCTTTCCCTAGATCTGGCCTGGGCTCTCTCCCCAGCTGCCTTCTCTGACCCTCTGCAGATCAAGGGCACACCCTCCCTGCACGGCCCTGCAACCTGCCCCTGACCTGG